ATTAACAACGTGAGTGACATTAAAAAAGTGAGTGACATTAAAAAAGTGAGTGACATTAACAACGTGAGTGACATTAACAACGTGAGTGACATTAACAACGTGAGTGACATTAACAACGTGAGTGACATTAACAACGTGAGTGACTTTAACCGTGTGAGCAACCATGATGGAGTAAACGACGTGAACATTACGTACGACATAAACACTACTGGCTATGGGATGTATGCCACAAGCTATCACGATACAAACAGCCTAGGAGAGAACAGCGCGGTCAACAGTATAGGAGAGAGCAGTATAGGAGCGAACAGCATAGGAGCGAACAGCATGATCGATGGAAGCAGCATGGGCACAGCTAACAGCGGGATGGATACCATGAACAGTGGAAGCACGACGAGCAATGCGAACTCCGTAAGCGCATCAGACACACTTTACTGCGAAGCCTGTATGTGCATGCTGCACCAGGGGGATAGTTTCAATGGAGAAAGTCAAAATGAGCCATTTATATACAACGGACTGTACCTTTGCCACAATTGCAGAAATAACATGTAACGCTTCTTTAATTAGCTAACCCAAGTCTACGTTTGGGATATTTCCCAACGAAAGAATATAATGCAGATCTAAACGCACTTTTGAAACATGGGAGACATATTTAACTGTTTGGAAGCCTTCCACACGCTTCCTACCGATTTGTTTTCCTTGACGATCAGCTCGTCCTCACCCAAGAATGAAACCTCTTTTTTTTCTTTCTTTTTTATCAATTTAATGTAAAGCGGAGAGAATGGGATTGAGTGATCATCCCACGTGATGCGGCGTTATGCCCTCCGTTGGACGTCCCTGCCCTCATTTTAAGCGCAATCGGAATGTGTGAATTCATTTAGGCGCTTTACCCTACAGCGGTGGTAGGCCTGTTTCCGTCACCGCTTGCTGCAAAAAAAAAGAAGCATTTTCTACTGTGTTCTTCTTGCTTGTATTGTTCGTCTTGTCCGTTTTGTTTTTCTTGTCCGTTTTGTTTTTCTTGTCCGTTTTGTTCGTCCCGTTCGTTATGTTCGTCCTGACCGTCCTCCCCCTTTTCCACAATTGCATACCTTAGACATTCGTAAAAAACAGAAAATCGCGTCCCTTTCACTCTAAAAGTCCACGAAAAACGACAGTCCACTTTTCATGTATGCCCTGTTCAGGCAAAAATTGAACACGTCGAACGGAGTGGCGCCCCGCATGATTCTTGTCCCGCGGCGTCTGGCGGAGACCATGTTGAGGCTTCCCCTGTCTTGGACTCAACTTGGGAAAATCCAAAAACGAAAAGAAGCAACACGCAGAAGTGAAAAAATGCAGCCACGACGAGTGTGCAAAGTTAGGGGTGGAGAACACCAACTCCGAATGACGTTTGCCGCTCTTCCTGTTGATCGTCATCAAGTGAACAGCACCTATGTGCGAAAAAAAAAAAAAAAAAAGCTAAACAATTTAACAAAATCGCCTGAACAAGTCAGGCATATTAAGCAATTTTTTTTTTTTTCTTTTTTTTGCAAATTTTCAAAATTTAGCTCATGCCGAACGATGCAACAATCGGAAAAATTGCCTCTTCTGTGAAGTGGAGCCACAGTCTACTTATGACACGCTTTCTCTTTGCAACGGAGTGGAGTGGTTCTCCTTGTCTTTGTACATACACATGGGTAGGAATTTTTTTTTTTTTTTCTTTTCCATTTTGCAAAGGCGAACACGCCGCTGCTTGCTTCACGACATGGCTGAAAGGAAAAAAAAGGACGTCAGTCCAGGTGATCATTTTGTTGGTGACAAAAATGGGCACCACTACTACTGCTACTACTCCTACTTCCACTCCTACTACTAACGTTTGCACTCTTCCGAAGAGTGAAGGACACGTTAGACAAATTTTCGATCCCCTTCGCTGGTGCCGCTCAAATGGGAAGAGGCACAAAGGGCGTGCATAACGGGAAGGAATAAAGAAAGGCGAAAAGAAAAAAGAGAGAAGAAAACACACACGCGGGGGATGTATATATGTATATACACATTTGTGGACACATTTATGGACACACTTTTGGACACCCTTATGGACCCATTTATGCGCACACTTATGTGCATATTCCCTGCGACTGTTTATGGGGGGAGGGGGCCGCTTATCCCGCGAAGCACTCCTTAAGGACTCTCCTCCCCTCTTCTTCCCGCTTATGCCCATCCCTCCCACGCCATGAAAACCAGGGACGCGTCGCTGAAGAACCAAATCGAAAAGGAGTCCATCGCACTGTTTAAGAAAAATCTGCTCAAGGAAAGTTACAGCTGGTTCAAAGACACGGACTACTTCGAAAAGCTTAAGAGTGAAAACAAGTACAGTAATGCTGAGAATGAAAACGAGACCAAAAATGTGGTAACCGGTCGTGTGCAGCTGGGGTGGGGTGGGACCTTCTTCCTTCTCTGTTGTGTCGTCGTGATATGTGACAACTCAGGATGGCAATCATGCAACCATTACAACAACAGCATTTTCTACTCCCCAGAAGCATTAACAGTAGTGTACTCGATTCTCTTCATAGTGTACGCTTTTCCTTTATTCATCTTGCATCAGTGTCTAGGGTTGCTGTCTCAAGGGGATTATGTCAAATCGTGCCGAATGCTGTCATCTCACATGGGAATGTTATCGATCTTTTCCCTCTTGGGAACAGTAACCTTCTGTGCGAAAGAAATATGCAATTTTTCGGTGGAGCTCTTACAAAACGTGTTGCGAATTATACATATGAAAGATGGAGAAAAAAAGTATGCAATGACGAAGATTTTTATCGATTTAACGAATAGAAATAGCCAGGATTGTTCTCTAATGCCAGACACGATATATTTGGAAGCTATAAAGCAGTGTATTTCTTTCAATAAAAATGTGATGGTCAATTTTTATGAGAACTTATGGTTTATTGGAAATAAGGACAACTACCTATACATCATTTTAATAGCCACCATTTTTATCCTCTTCTGTTACTTCATTTTGTTAAGAGAAAACTTCCGCGTCTTTAAATTTTTCATTTTTGTCATTATTGTCAACTGGATTAGTAGCAAGTCTGTCGTCATCATGAACACCTTCTTCTTTTACATTCCTCAGCAGAAAAAGTTATATGAAGAGGTTGTTCAGATATTTGAAGAAATTGGCATCGTAAAATTGACCATTTTTCTATATGGGACCATAGCTAGGAGTTCTTCCATTTTTATCCTCAGTACCTTTGCTTCGTATTTTCACACCAACACAAATATATTGAGGATCACTATGTATACGTTCGCCTTCTACATTCTTAATATGTATTTTTATCTTAAGAATGAGGCCCACGAGTATTACCTCTACAACAACAAAGACTTCGTCACGACAAAGGAGTTCAATTTTATCAAATGCAACACGTACATTAATCTACTGCAGGGGTTGGCACCGCACCGGGAGGAGGGATCAGCCGGAACAACCGGAGGAGGGGGTACCTCCTACTATGGGGCCTTCCCTTCTGCAGACACACAAGACGACAGGTATGCCGTCTGGCAGAAGCTGTGCCTCTTCTTTAGCTCCTACTCCTTTCTGTTCTCCACGATCTTTATCGTGCTTATGCAGCTGTTGGGCCCATTCAACATTCTCATGGAGAAGGGCAGACGTGATGGCCAGGCGGACGGCGAAGATAACAGTGAGAAAGAAGGGGAGAGGAAAATCTACACTTACAAATCGCTAGTTAAACGTTACGAGAGGGATCGCATAAATCGGTCCGTCTCCAATAACAGATCTTCCTTTGTGTCGAGAAGGGGCGGGAGCGCCACGTGCAGTGACCGATCCACTGGAAGGAGGAGGCACCCGAATGGGGCACCCCAGATGGATGGAAAAAATAGGCATAAGGGTAGTGATAAAAATGGGCATAAAGACAGGCATAAAAATGGATATAAAAATAGCCACAAAAGTAGCCATAAAAAAAGAAGAAAAAACTTGTTTCGTTTGAATTTATTTTTTAAACGGGGCAAAGTGGACCCAGCGAGGGACAACAAGGAAGACTCCCTCTACATGTCCAGGAAAAGCAGCTTCCTGCCACAAAGGGGAGACTATTCCCAAGAGCATTCTTCCATACTTTCGAATATTCAAAACGGGGGGGAACGAGCCCAAGAGGAGCTGCCACCCTACAAATGCTTCGACGGGGAACCAGGCGATTTCAACTTTGGTGCAAGCTCCTTCGAAGACTACATCGGGGTAGCAGATTTCGCGGGAGGAGACCTCGAAGGGAAGACGTTAAATCGTCGGCCAAGGCAAAGCAGTACCACTGCACACAGAAACGCTAGTAGGAACATGTACGCAGATAGTCAGCCCCCTTCTTCGAGGGGTGCCAGGCGGGATTTATTTTCCAACTCGAGTGGTCCGAGTGTCGATTTGAGAGAGGCGACAGGGAAAGGAGGCTCAAGGAAAGGATACTCAGGGGAAAGCGGCTCAATGAAGGACAGCTCAATGAAAGGATACTCACCGAAAGGCAGCTCAATGAAGGACAGCGCTGGCACAGGGGGGTCCAATCGGAAGAGGCATCTCCAAATAGGAATCCCAGCACGAGTTGCAAGAATGAAAAACATAGTGATCAGCAAGTATGGCACCTTCCTCCTCTTCGCAGTCATATATGTCTTTACCATCCTGCACGTCTTAGATTTCCGAAGGAACAACGACATCGTTAGTGAGATCATTTTGAATTCCCTCTACAGGGGATTCTTAATCTTTATCTGTGCAGTCCAAGTGATTTACGCGTCGTGGGTATTTGGGATGAAGTTGCAGATGGCCCAGTGCGGAGTTATCTCGTGCCTTTTACATTTTTTCTCTTGGGTTGTTTTGCTTCCCCTTCTGTTTGTCGTCTACTTGGGGAAGGGCAGTTGGTTGCAGATGCTGGTAATTGCTCTGTCGCTGAACGTGGCGTCCGTGGCCACCTCCTTCGTGGAGGTTACTTTAAAGCTGCGCAGGGACGCCTCGAGCTCCGCGGTGAGGTTAGCGGTGGAAGAGCACAGTGGCGCAGAGCACCCCGCAGAAAAGCGCAAAAATTACAATTACCTAGCCCTTTTTAAAAAATGCCTCTACTGGCTGTACATAGGAAACTTGGAGGTGTTAAGAAAGAATATGAATATCGCCATGTCAGGGAATGATGAAAAATATATCCCCCTCTTCTGGAGCTTCTTTCTCAAGTACATAAATTCCTCTATGCTGATCGTCGTCGTGATATACAACACGCAAGAGTATTTCTTTAATATGCTACCCATGTTCGGGGGGTCCGTTAGCTTTCGAATTGAGTTAGGTTCCATCGTGCTGATTTTCCTGGGATCCTTGGCCGCTTTAGCGTGCAACCTCCGCAAGGGTAATCAAACGGAAAAAGGAAAGGGGAGGAGGAGGAGAAAGAGGTGGTGGGGTACGCATTTCTCCAAAAAAGAAAGACGCAAAAAAGGGGGAAGTTGCGCAGAAAGGAAACACTTTGCGAGAAAGGAAAAAAAAAAAAAAAAAAAAAGAGAGAGCACACAAAGGAGAACACACAAGAGG